CGCGACTCCGCCCCTGCCGCGCCGAACAAACAGTTAGTACATTAGTATCAGGGTTAGCGAGAAAAAGCAGTAGCCTCTTCACATTTGTTTTGAAATTTCTTTTTAATGGATTTTGTTAGTTACAAGTACACGTCTCCACAATCGGGGGCCAGGCGGGCCCACCGCGGGCGCAGCTTCCCACGCGAAATTATCAGCCACTATAGTCCTAATGCCATTGCAGTTGCTTATGTCAGTATTACAAATTGTACATGTGTGCGATGTCATATGTAATAACAGTATCTTCTGGCATGCTACAAGTTGCTGCAATTAGGACATTATTATAGTTGAGAGTTAGTAACAGTGATCAAGTCTGAGGCAATGGATTAAGCAGTGGTCATTGTCTGCATTAAGCTGAAGAATTCACATCACTGAGTACTCGTGCAACAGGCTAAATATCACCCACTCCCTTGTGTGCATTGTGAGACTATATAAAAGTTACCATGTGGCCAGCAGCTTGTGGGCGGCGGAGACCTGATCATATGCTCATGGACTTCTTTTAATGTCAATGGATCTTCCTCAACAAAGTCCAAAGCTGTGCTGCCAAATTCCTGGAATTTCAGGGACTAGCTCATAAGTTATTTCTTTTTTGTTTTTATCAATTATTTAAATATTTTATTAAGTATAAATCCAAAAACACCTTAAACAACAATTTAATGGCAGACAAATTTACCTGTGACATTAAAATTGTGTCATCAGATCCACAATCTTCTGCATGGCTGTCGATCAGACTTTCTCTGCTTGCCATCACATGCTGCAATCATGTAGTCAATTAACTTTTACACAAATAGCAGCAGCCGCACTACACGATACTTGAGCAACTGGAAGGTTCTGTCAGATACCTGCAAGTAAGGGTTATCTTGTCTGGAAAGCCTAAGAGCTTCCATGTCTTGTGCGATATTCCTCGTCCGGCCAGGAGTGAGCAGGACACCGGGGGAGCTGCCCAGTGCCGAACTCAGCACTGAAACATTCGCAACATTGCATTTACTTACCATCACTAACTGATCTGAGCAGATTAAACTTTTCCAGAATGCTGATACGTACCTGAAAGAGAATCATTGCTACCTTCCATTTTATTCAACCCAGTTCCCAGTATAAAGGAAATTCAATATAAACAAGACTATTTTAAATAACATTAATACTTATAGACCAACAAAAGGTATTCTATATTTCGGCATTAGAAGTTCAGAGTTTATAATCATTATAGATGCAGTGAAATATTGCTTTATGATTTAATATGCATTTTGATCTATAATGTTAATCTAAATTAAAACAGACAATTAAAAATATAAAAATGTATTATAATACATAATATGGATTTTTACTGTCACTGTCTATCAGTGTCATCCCCTCCCCTGCTGTCTGCTGCTGCTGTCATCTGCAGTGTTGCCAATGGACATTTTTACTCCGCCGTGTTTGTACCTACGTTGCGTAAAAAAGCCATTTGCAGACTGTATAACATTTTTATATAACACTAGCTGTTGCTCGCGACTTCACCCGCGTGAAATTATAAAGAAAATATAGCCTATGTTACTCACAGATAAATTACCTTTCTGATGGTGAAAGAATTTTTAAAATCGGTTCAGTAGTTTTTGAATTATTTCAATACATACAAAAATACAAAGTTTTCTTCTTTATAAAATTAGTATAGATATAGACAAGGAATGTGAATTTCAGTATATTTCTTTGATGTTAAAATAGGTAGCGACAGTTAGCTAATATTAAAAAGTTGTTAATTTTTTTAAGAAGTGCTAAGTATGACCGTTGGTATTTTTTCATCCTAGACCCCCCGGGCTTTGCGGAGGGACATTAGTTCCCTTTGCATTTCTTATCCCGTATACAATGGGGAGAGTTCCAATGAGCTGTTTGGAACAATTCCTGCCACCGAGTTTCGTCATCGGACGACACGACAGACCGTCAGGTACTATCCTTACCATCTCGATGGCTAGTATTGCACAATCGTGCGGTTTTTTAGCGGAACTTTCTGCCCCGCACAGCCGTGTTGTGGAACGGTCTGTCCTCGGTGGTATTTCCAAACCAATACGACTTAGGGTCCTTCAAGAAGCGAGCTTATCATTTTCTCAAGGGCTCGCAACGCATCTGTGGTTCCTCTGTTGTTGCGGATGGTAATGGGCTTCGTTGATCATCTCGGTGTTCCTGAAGCTCGTTTACCCCTTTTATCTATATTAATATTACAAAGAGACAGGATTTGTATTTTTTTATTTTTATGTTTTTATATTTTTGTATGTACTCAAGAACTATTGAGCCGATTTTAAAAATCCTTTCATCATTAGAAAGGAAATTTATCTGTGAGTAACATAGGCTATGTTTTATTATTAATAATGTAGAGGAACTAAAAATAAACATATTTCTGAACCACGGCGCTAAAAAATCCCAATTATTTTAACTTTTCTCGTCTTACGCTGCCTAAACCTTTAGAGATATATATTAATTATGTATAAAAGTATTGTAGATCAATACACACAATAATGGTGACCGAAAAATCAGCTTACAAACTACCGGGCTTAAAAGTTTGGAATCTTGCATCAGTAGATTTCTGTTATTACGTAGAGTACTACTAAGTTCATACTTTTGGTTATTGGTTGTAATAAGGAGAAATGTAAGTTTCGAACTATTACACCACACAATTATAAAAAAAATAAACACTGCTTTTTTTACACAATGTACAATGCCGGGTAAAAATTTTCATTGGCAACACTGCCCTTATAGCTAACTAATCCAAACTATATAATCTTTGACAAAGTTTGTTTGTGGTCTAATTCGTTATTATGATTGGGTTTATACTTTCGTAATATTTATTGTCTAAAATAATTAACAATCATTTAGTTTTATTGATAAAATATTAGTAGTCGTAGCCAAAGATGAGACGGACCTATAGATCTAAAAAAGATGATGGTAGCATAGACCCCAAAGGATTAATTACAAAAATTGATGCCCGAAGTTCGGCATTCGACAATTTTTATATTCACAACATAAAATTAAACAAAAAAGAGCTTTTCCCGTCGGCGTGTTCGAATCAGATTAATGCAGCTTCTAAGAAGATTCGCAAAAGGAAATACGTAAAGCGAATTGTTAATGATGTGTCACAACGGGCGGTACCGCATTCTGCTGAACCGGGGACCCAGTCGGTGCTTCTTACGCCGGACAAGTCCATACACGTGAACAAAGCGCCGGATCCATTCGATCTGCTTTTAAGATCCTCTCCTACTTTCTCACAGAGTCCTATGTTAATAAAAAAATCGTAAGTTTTTAAACCTAGTGATATAAAAAAGTTTAAACCCTCGTCGGTCTTGCGATATTGTTCAGGTGTCTGACTTGTTATGCTTGTTAGGCTATATATTATATATGAATAAGTCAGAGTAGATTGCCTATAGTCTGAAAATATGAATGGATTGTGTGAAAGAGGATATGCTTAATGAAGGGAGTTAATCCAGATTTGACGGCTAATAGCAATGTATGGAAGAGTGGTACATACAGTGCTGACCCTCTGTAGAGGCAAGGGCAAGCTGGTGGGTATAGGATATGCTTGTGTCAGTGTATCTACTCTGTCAGTGTTTTACTAACTTTTTGAAAAGCCATAAATCAAAAAAAAATAGGCATCATCAACTAAAAACCTATCATCAACTTGTGCTTGTCAATAGACAAGTGGTAACACGCACAATGAAAATATTAAACTATAAAAATGTAGAATTTTTTTTTTGCATGAACACAATGTAATACAGGGATAAAAAAGTCAATAGTATAGTAGCTGTTTATTGTTATAAGGGTCTGAATCAAAAAGTTTTGGTTTGTTTATGCATTATATGGTTCCAGGAGGGAAAAACCTAATATTAAAAAGAAGACAAAATTTAACAGTTCTAATGCTGAGTGTGAAGGTATTTAATAAAGATATAATTTTCATTTATCCTAACTTATATTGAATATTCATATAGGAATGTTATTATTATTGCAGATTGGAATAATGAAAATGCAACTACTAAAGTTAACTCCCTTTGTCAAAGCACATCTGATGTTAGATCTCATAGATTGAGGGTTGAAGTAGAAGGTACTGGCAACCGCAAATGCCATGATGAGTCCATCAGCAGAATAGTAAGGATCATGCCACTTCTAAATGACAATAACAAAGATGCACATAGACTTACAGCCACCTACAGAAACTCACCAGCTGCAGGAAATTCTCCACTTTGTAGTACCCCATTTCAACTTAAATATAGATGTAAATCTATTTTTAACATTTCACCTATCTCAAACAACTTTAATGAAAGCTCTAAAGTGGTGATGAAGTCTTTGAATAGAAGTAGCTTGCTGGATGAGGATGTAAATGCATCACAATGTGAATCATCTGTTCAAAAACAATCCTCATTAGGCGCAAATACGACAAACAGAGAAGGAATTCAGACAAAAAGCAAGGATCCAATCAATGGTCAAGCTAGCTTTGAGTGTAAAAAGCAAGCAAGCTTGGAGAGCAAACAGCTTAACACCTTTTCAACATCTGAATTGGAACCATGCTATGGATTTTCCAAGGTTGCCCTCATTGACAACATCAACCAAAACACTGATCATATTCGTAATTATCTTGAAACTCATGTACACAATATTTCTGTACCAAATAAATCATATAAAACATCGTCAGAATTTAAAAACAAGAAATTTGATCAAATTGAAGACGAATGTTTAAGGAGTTCCAGTGATTGCCTACTATCTGATTCATTACCATACAAAAAAGTTAATACAAAGAAAGAATGTGCATCTAAAAACAGACATTGTACCAGCAGTAATAAAGACTATATGCACAGTAACCTGTTGACATCTCCGGAGACAGCTAGCCCATGCAACAAGACTAACTATATCCAGTGTAAAAGTAATAACGGTTTACTCAATCATAATAATAGTTTATGTAATCCTAATCTGGTAGTTACTTTAGAAAAAATGAATGATTCCATCTTTTACAAATATTACACGAAGTATAAAAGTACAGAAACCATAAGACACCAATCTAAGGTTTTTAAAGACCTTACAAATTTAGAACAAAGAGATAATTTTATTGAGTTAGTAAATGTTTCATACAACACAGATTTTAGCAATAATTTGGAGGACAATGCTTTGAATAACACAGATTATGGCAATAATTTGGAAGAAAAAGATTATCTTATTGAGTTATCAAACACTTCATATAACACAGATTATGGAAATATTTTGGAGGAAAAGGAGAATCTTACTGGGTTATCGGATGTTTCATATAACATTGATGGTGGCAATAATTTGGGAGAAAAGGAGAATTTTATTGAGTTATCAAATACTTCGTGTGACATTGATGGTGGCAATAATTTGGAAGAAAAGGAGAATCTTATTTATTTATCAAATGCTTCATGCAACATTGATTGTAGCAATAATTTGGAAGAAAAGGAGAATTTTGAGTTATCAAATGTTTCGTACAACACAGACCCTGGCAATTTTTATTCTATGGATTATTTTTCTCCAGAAAAAACAAATCAAGAATTTCAACAAATCCGTGAAACAAATGAAACCCATAAGGAAGGTGCAGGAATCAGTTATGTAACTACCAGGAGGCGACATGAAGTTATTAACAACTCAATAATAATTTCACCCGACAAGTCTTATGGAGATGTCAGTACAAGCTGTAATAATTTAATTGAATTGACTGAAAACCAGAAAAGTAATGTTACATCCGTACAAGAAGGTGCTGAAAGAGGAATTGTGTCTACAAGCAATGAATCTGCTGCTGATAGCATTGTATCAAAGCATGAAGATATTTTGTTGCGAGATCACATTCACAACAGCAGGGGGAGTATCTGCCACATTGGAAGCAATAACACACGCGAGCGCGATGACACGAAGTTGACAGGCTGTAATACCTTAAGTGGGTCAAAAGTAGCAATAGTACTGCAACCTGGAAAGAAATGGGAACGATCATTAAGTATTTATAAAAGAATGACAACAATAGCCGACACCGACCATTCTCTTCTAGACTGTGAACAAATGGAACGTAAAGGCAGAAAATATAGACAAAGCGTAATTGACACCATGCAAATGCAGAAATCATTTTGTAAGTTTATTAACACATTCATTTCCTTATATAACTATGGGTTGTGTTGTAATTTGTCAACCAGATTTCTGTCAATTTTCATAATGTGTTGGTAATTTGATCAAATTATTACTTTCCAATGGAGTGTACCATGATCTACAAATAAATAACTGGTTATTTAGATACCATATCATATCACGAACAATTTTGATAAAGCTCTTATAGCTTATAGCTTTGATAGCTTTAATAGCGCTTTTATCAAGCTTAACTTTTCTATAATTTATCAAACATGTTAGAGATTTTTAAATAGTATGAGGTGAGAAACAAACAAACAAGCTGCAGTTACTTTTAAGAACTTTTATTTACGTAATTGCTGCGGCTTGTTCAGTTTACCTAACTAAATTCACCTAACTAGATAGGTAATTACCTAGAAAGAGGTGGATGGATTTCGTGAAAGGTGACATGATCAAAAAAACGTACAGACGAATTGAGTACCTCCTTCTTTTGGGAAGTCGGTCAATAAATTGAGTGATGGCGTACGATAAAGTTGTTTGGAGGACACAAACCTTTTGCGCCGACCGACGGGACGAGGATAAGGATGATGATGATGATGAGTTAGGTAACAGAAAATGTTTTCCGTTTTCGTAACCAGTCAAGTTTTTTGCTAGGGTGGGTACACTTCTCTAGTTTCATGCCATCAATCCCATGGTAAAACGATCAGCTGTCGATTTCAAGACCAAATAGCTAGCGCAATTTAATATCGATCTAATAGAGAATATGCATGTGTTTTTTTCTTTTTTTAAACGATTCTACTTGTTATAAAATAACCAGACGAAAAAATTTGACTCAAAAATATTCAACCATTAAGCTAAAAATAATAAAATAATATTACGATCATTTTTGTGCGACGAAAAAACGCATTTAATAATGATAATAAATTGCCCAGAAAACAGAAAAGTATACGCCTCCTACCCTGTTACGAAAACGGAAAAAAATCTTGTTACATAACTGTTTGGGTAAATTTTGTAAGGTAAACGGAACAAGCCATTGCTGCCATAAGTTAAAAGTTTGCGGTCACGTTGCCTACCTTATGATGGATAGTCTAAACGATGTAGCAGATATATGATATTTCTCTCTCTTAAAAGTCCATCTCCAGTAAATTAATTTTCCCTTGCCGTTTTTTGTTAATAGCAAAAGTGGGATGGGGAAACATGATTTAAGATGTCGAGTTTATAATACTCGTTGTAACATTGTGTTGCGACCTATTGGAATCTAACGCCGCCAGCCAAGTATTAAGATGATCTGTAAGATTATGCTGTTCCATCGCGCGATTAAAATAATTTTGAGGCGAAATAAAACAAATACTTCGCTCCGCTTACAATGTATTGGAACTCTTTGGTAGGTTAAAATCCAACAACTTGTTAACCAAGTGATGTTCAACTGTTTATGAAATATCGCCATTTGACATAATATTTCAAAGTTGCAGTGTAATGTCAGGTACGAATTTGTATTTGTTAAATAATAGAATTAGTTAAGATTCAAGTACGTGTTAATTTTAGTGTTGAGTCAACAATATGTTTTTGGATTTCAACAACGATGTTACTTCAATTACAGGTTCCCTTCATAATGAACCAATTAATGGTCGGAGAAGTACTTTTATTTGCAAACCTAGCAGGTCCACAATAAAACTAGTAAAAGTAAGTAAACCGAGGCAAATTATAGTTTAAACAATGTCAACTTTTTAAATGTTCCTGGACTTATTACCGTTAAAGTCATTTAAGTCTTCTACTGTTCAATTTTAGGAAAACAGCAGTTCTCGGGCTAGCTTGTGTCCGACTACAGCATATGAAGATTTGAAAGGTATCCGTTTTAAATAAATACAAATTTACAGTTTGTTATTACAAGCTGTAAATTTACGGTTAATTTTACTTTGTACGGTACATTTGTAACTTTTTTATTTAAAAATTGCGAGTTTATTTACAATCTTTGTTTTGTAAAATAATTTGGTTTTCGGTGGCAACACCAGCAATATTTCTATGTATAATCTGTGCAAGTCTGACATTTACGGAAGAAAAAAAAAGAAGGCGCTGTGTCGTTAGAGCCATCTTTCACAAGTTTTATTTTTTTCGTTAATAAAACTATTTTGCATTAGTATCTCGGTACATTGACTTCATATTTTTTATTTCTACTAATATTAGTAGGAGTACTATAATTTTTCGTAAATATTTGTGATTGTGTTGACTATTTGACTGCCATTATCCCTAACGGGATAATAGCTTCTTCATACGCCTTTGTTCAACTAAAAGTGTCTAAAGCCAAGTGCATGCATCTTTCCCTGCAATACACAGGTTAGTTGCTCGTTCTTTATCTTTAATAGCTACAAACCCTTGCTTAGTTTGATAATTCTTAGAAATTACGTGTACCGCGCGGGGAAAGTTAGTCATTCACTTCCTATTGTGTGTCATTCGTGTTTTCATAACTTTTAAATGCTTTTAGGATTTCTGTCCGACGACTGTGATGATACGATCGTCGATTTGTCAAAATTGTCCATCGGCGAGTCGGTGCATGAAGTGACTGTGGTTGAGAAGTTCCATGAGGCAAGTCGCATAGCCACCGCCCGCGACTACGTGCTGCGCCGCTGCAATCAGACCGAGCCGCTGCCATTTGATGAATGTTACCCGGACACGTACGTACCGCCTGATCCACCATCTCCACCATCTCCATGTCACACTCGACAACAATAACATGCTCATGTGTATCTAGGTCAAAAGCTGCTAATAGAAATTACTAAGTGCAGTTTATTTGTTTATGAATTAACATGTTGCTGTGATGATAAGGTCTCAAGTATTAATATAGTTAAGGTTTGATTTTTCAACCTATAGTTATTATTGTTGATAATTATTATTATTTACCAATTACATGAAGTCATTATCAAGTACAGTAGTATTTAGTGCAGTGAATAGCGAGATGACAGTGTTATAGAACATATATTGTTAAGATATCACCATGTGTATGTGTATCAGTATAAACTGAGTGATGTGTGTCACGCAGTAACAGTGTGGGCTTGTGCAGGGCTCTGAAGAACTGCCACAAGATCGGCGAGGGTGTGTACGGGGAGGTTTTCCTGTGGCGGGCGCGCGACGGGGAGGCGCGAGTGCTCAAGGTCATCCCCATTGCGGGAGACATCAAGGTGAATGGCGAGCCGCAGAAGGGCTACCACGAAATCATCTCTGAGATTGTGATTGCTATGTAAGTTTTTCTTTATTTTTTTTTAGAAAACAATGAAAATGCAATTATACAAAAATGCGAGATATTTGGCTTTCCATCTATGGGACAGTTTATTTTGGTTATGTTGTGTTGTCAAAATCATTTTTGGTGTATGAGAAATGTATGGGTATTGGAGAAACTAATGGATATAGTTGTTGCATTGACCTTTATTAACTTGTAGTAATCTACATAATTAAAAATCAATCAAATAGTTAAAAATTACAAAAAAATTTATGTCACGATAACCTTTAAAAGATTTTGCACACCTTCAAAATACACTGTGAGCTGATAAATATCGACATGCGCAGAAACGACATTACTACGTTCCTGTCCCCCTAATATATCATCTTCCCGAAATCTGAAATTTTCTTTTGATATTAGTCACTCCATTTTATTACATGAGTAGTTTAAAGACTTGTGAATTTTTTGTATGGGAGGTGGTTTTTAAACTGATAGATCTTGTACCAAGTTAACTAGTAGATACAATTGTAAAGATAATTAAAATGTGGAAATGGCATTTTAGACACAGCCATTTTTTTTTTTTTATTGACGCCCAAAGTTATTTAACCCTGGTATCATTGTTCACTTAGGGCGCCACCGTTCTTACGTAATCACTGACTCCATGTAAATATCATATTAAAACTTAGTAAAGTTTCTCAATTAGTAAAAACATTGTGTAATAGATAGTGTCCAAAACAACGCAATAGTGCAGCACAAATGAAAAGTGTAAAATGATTTTAAGGAAAAATGATTAAAATGTGAAAATACAGTGATGCGACAATCGGAAATTAATGTTTTTTCCATTAAAGCCACAGCAAACAATATGAATTTTAGGTGGACAGAGACTGGACCTGATCTATAACCTATAACCATAACATAAAGTGCTATGGCCATAATTGTATTTCTATACAAACTCTGAGACAGTAGTGGTCCACCATATTTTAAACTTTGCAAAAACAATAATCTTGTAAAATCCACATAAATAGATACTAGAACATCTCTTCTACCAGATTATATGTGACTGCAATCTAATGTAGAGAAAACTTGAGGGAATATATTGCAGAAGAGAAGATGAGATATAATATTGTTTTGTGCAGGGAATTGAGCGCCCTGCGCGCTCCCATACCGGACATTGAGAAACGCTTGGACGAGGGCAAAGAGCTCGACGACTTGGATTTACACTCCATAGAGAACGCTACAGACATTTTTAACGAGGTAAGGCGATGTCTTCATATGTAGGCGACAACGAACTGTTACAGTTACTGTTACAACTGGAAATGTAAAGTCCCTCATGGCATTTCAACGTGGGATCTAAAGCACACATGAAAACAGCCATAAGTAACCAGCGGAGGCTCTGTAAATGGT